ATGTGACATATCTGATCGCATATTGAAACTTACGGCACCACTTTCGGTTGGAAATCGATGCAACTTTCGTTTTTCAAATCCTGTATCCAGATATTTAAAAGAGCAAATCAATCTGTACGACAACATAAAATATGCATATGGTTGATATACAAAACAAGTAAAAAGGTTTTTACCTTAGACAAGAAAAGAGACCTTGCCTAAGGTTTTTACCCTAAGGCGAGTAGCTTTAGAGCATTTTCCAGACATTTATCAGTACTTTCCAAACGGGTATAGCTATGTTTTTCTTTATTAAAAGCATCTATGGCTAAAATTCAATGAAATATCTCAATAAATAAGAAAGTTAACATTGCTTAGTCTACGCTTTCGCACATCTTATTTTGCAATATGTGATATGTTTGCGTTTACTAGAAGCATCTGTGGTTAAAATTTCAACGAAATATGTTCATAAATGTTCGCATTGCGCAGTCTGATTTTTGCTATATGCGATATGTTTGCCTTTACTAGAAGTATCTGTGGTTAAAATTTCAACAAAACATATTAATAAATTAATCGTCAAGATTTTTTTTGCCTCAGGTACCAGAGCTACGAGTAGGATACGAACTAAATATATTATTGAAAACCATAGGACTACACCATTTCCAACTGTAGTTCAAAAAGAATCACATTTATTTTCAAATATATCATTTGTATTTTAAAATTGTCGGATGAATATTCAAAAGCGTCATTTGTAGTTTAGAATGGTCAATCGAATATTAAAAAATATCATTTTTTGGCAACTCCATCACCATCTACACTTCCGGCCGTTCATTTTTGATGAAAGCCTTAGATTTCTAAGATTTTCGAAATCCACTCACAAACAATTTATAGAAAATCTCCAAACAATGAACGAAAATCTTAATAATTTTCTTGGATTAACTCCCTTGTTAAACTTTCAATCTTTTCTCATTTATTTTTAAGAAAATGTAATTCTTTTTGAGAGAGCTATTCCCTCCAGCAGGAACCAGGTATTTGCACTCCATCAATTTTCATTAACACTTTTTAATTCCTCAAAAAACAATAACCGGATTTGTTAGATACTACCTTCCCTAATTTCCATTATTCCACTACTTCCTCAATTTTTTTACCCAAAATCGTCCCGAAACCTTCATTTTCATGCTTACTTTCTGTCAGTACATTAATCAAAAGTTTTATATTAAAATTGAAATGTTATATTAACATACGATTTCGAGTAAAATTTAATACAAAACTCGTCAGCAAATGACATTACTTGACCCAGAGGTTAAATTACTCGGCTCCAAAGGACCTCGCACTTCAATATTTCCTCACCAGTAATGCGTCATTTTCCTGACTCTTATGTAAATAACTATTCCATGACATAGGCAGAGCGGACTACGTTTTCTGCCGCTTGCCAGTTTACTGGCCGCATCTGTGACATTGCTAAATGTTTATAATGCCTCCTGTCATCACTGACAGATTGACATTAATCAAAAGTTCTAGATACCGGGTGTTCAGAAAAGCTGGTCGACTCCATAAATAATACGGTGTAGCCAACTTCGGGTATGAAACTTCAGGGCGGGTGCTTTGTTACAAAAAGTTATCGCCACCTCCCTCGTATCACCTCCCCTGGCATCCCCGGGGAATTTCGAGACCGGATTTGGACTCTGAGACTGCGAAAACCCCCCAAGTAACCATTTCGGAGCAATTTCTCGGCACTATTAATTGGGGCGATTGAGACGTCTGCAAGGAATACATATATCCATTGGTGATGTCAAAACAAAAGCTATTTCGGTTTAAAAAACAATTTATACTTGTTTGTCAATGTCGCCTTAATTAATTTTTTTTCGAATAATTCCCCATATGCCTCACTTTTATTAAGCGTAGTGATCTTGTTTTTCGAAATTAAGCAATAATATTAATCCGAGTAACTTTGATAATGGGAATGTTTGATTTAGTAATAGGTGCAGGGTGTTTACAGTGAAGTGGTACATTTTCCTAATTTCAAGGTGCCATAACTATTTTATTAAGGATCCTCAGATCCTTTATAGTTTTGTATTGTCGTCCGTCCGTCCGTCCGTCCGTCCGTCCGTCCGTCCGTGTGCGCTCTAACTCTTTTTAAAAGTGGCCGATTGTGTTGAAATTTGGTATACGGGTACGTTGGACATTAAGAACGGACGCTTTTGATTTTCAGGAAGCTGGTTCAACAGGAACAAAAGTTATACGACTTCGAGTGAATCGGGAACAGGAAAAACTGCGAACTCAATATAATAAAAATTAACATATTTCATTCCCTAGGTCATGTATCGAGTTCGGACTTTCGCTAGATTATTCCCTATGACTCTTAGATGTGTAACAATTCAATATAACTCTTCTCTGTGGTCTCGGTCAAAAGTTTTAGAGCAAAATGTACCCAAAATTATTCTTTACACATGAATTTAGAGTTGTAAAAGCTTTCAAACGCATTATCTTGATGCTGAAAGAGTTGATAACGTGCACGTTTGATAACCGCATGTGTGTGATTCAAAAATGTTAAATTATTTTTCTGAGGCCACATGGATTTTGATCAAAATATGTCAAAATCGTTAATTATGCACCAAGATCGTTGGGAAAAAGACTACGCGCATTATCTCAATGCCCAAGACATGAATTTGATGCATTTTTGGCGACCACGTGGATTTTGATCAAAACATGTCAAAATCGTTATTTATGCACCAAGAGCGTGGGGAAAAAGACTAGGCGCATTATCTCAATGCCCAAGACATGAATTTGATGAATTTTTGGCGAAAACGTGGATTTTGATCAAAACATGTCAAAATCGTTATTTATGCACCAAGATCGTTGGGAAAAAGATCAAGAGCATTATCTCAATGATCTAAACATGAATTTGATCTATTTTTATGGACCACATGGATTTTGATCAAAACATGTCAAAATCGTTATTTATGCACCAAGATCGTTGGGAAAAAAACCAAGAGCATTATCTCAAAGCCCAAGACATGAATTTGATGCATTTTTGTTAACTATAAAATGTATTTTGTAAGATTAAAATAAATTGTCGTTAAAAGTGATTGTAATACTGAGGATCCTTCGATATTTCGTTGTATCGGTTTATTTTCAAACGGAACTATCACTATTCCAGGAGTAATTTTATAGAACGAGTGGCAGTGCCATTTACATACAGTATCAAACATAGGATGTTATCGTACGAACGCCAAAATTCTACCCCATTATCAGTTAAACTAAATAGCATACCTAAGTATGTTACGTTTAAATGAAACGATAATTATTGATAAAAAAATGCGAACCTGGTATTGCAACAGTGATTAAAAAATCTATCCCGCGCCATTTGAAATGAAGTGTAAAATTACACATTCAACACGCATGGTTTGATTTACAACTTCATGAGCCAAATAAATATAGGTTAAATAGAAACTGAGTTCGATTACCACTATCAAAAGAACCAGAATAATGAATTATATCGTGTGTGCTCTACTCCTAACATCTTCACTTTTGGTTTGTATCCAATTTTTTTTTCAGTTAGTAACATACTAAGTTTTTCGTCCTTAGGGAACCTTCGTAGGACCAGCTGTTTTAACAGGTAGGTAGGATATCGGCTAAGTGGAATTACTGCGTACTTGCATTGCTGCTTCTCACAAAATGTATTGGTTGGTTGGTAACTCTCATTCAGTTCATGGTTATACGATTTTACTCATTACAGGTTTTGGACGAAGGTTTAATGCATTTCATAAACTTCTGTTTCCAGATACGGCCATGGAAAATGCCGATGGAAAACCAGACCAGACGGAGGAAGCTGACACCTTGCCAGAGTCGCGGTTCAATGCTGCAGGTGATGGTGGTTGTGATCGCTATTCACTACCCAAACTTGGTACGTTCGGATTCCACAAACTAAACTCATGTTTCATCGATTCTTCTACAGATCAATCCGACTTAAAAGAGCCATGTAATATATCTCGTGAAATTGATGACTCCCTCCACTCCGATCTTACAAGTTAAAAACGAGTAAATAGTTGAGCAATATAAAACGGGGCTTTTTAGTTCTTAGCCATAACCTATTTCCTAAAGCAATTTGTGAAACTAGCCATTAACGGCAATCAGAGATTTTGGACGCTGTGTCCAAGACACCATGTCTATCATGGGGATCTTGGAAAAAGAGTTATTATGATGGTAAAAAAGCAACCTAAATATTCCTGTGTCCAAGACACCATGTCTATCATAAAAGAGTTATTATGATGGTAAAAAAGCAACCTAAATATTCCGAATACGAAGATTATCCAGAAAAACCGAAATGTTCTCATTTCGTGAGTATTTTTTTCTGATGTTTTTTGAACAGACACAACAAATTTTAAAAAAAAGCACTTTCTCATTGCTACTTAATACGGTGACAATTTACAATTAAATTGGTTCAAATTCCATATGAAAATGAAGAAAAAAGTCGTAAAACTGAAATTTCTTTGTTCGTGTAGCGATTTTTTTGAAATTTCAGCAGTGGCTCTTTCTATTTTAAAGCTATCGATTCCAAACATATCACTTATAGCGTGCGTTGTGCGTGTGCGCAAACCAAGTGATTGGTGAAGCACGTAGGGGCAGGTCAGAATTGTCAATATGAACTTCTCTCCGAAAAAGAGGTATCGGGATAAGAGGGTGCTCACAAAATGATATGGATTAAATTTAAACTGCAGCTGATTAGACGAACAAATTTGGCGCTCTTTCTTCTGAATGTTCCGAAAGTTCATTTATGAAGGGGTTCAAGTTTTGGTCGAGACACCCTGTGTAATAGCAAATTAAGTACCTGTGGTAGGATGGTGTCATAAGGAACTAATCGAGTTATTCGCTCGGCCACAAAAGAAATTAGGAAGAGCTCGTTGATTTTCTACAAAATTGACGTCGAAAAATTCATTCAAAGTTTTGTAGAGATACGTATCCGGGCGGCATTTCAGAAACAGTACATTATTGTAATAAATCTAAAACATCAAGTCACCTACTTGCTGGAAAGTTTTCCCCCGATTCATTTCATCTTTCATAAAATAGGAAAAGTGTATAGGTGATTTATTATGTGCTGCGAGATTAGAATGTTTCTAACACGTCTTAAGGCAAACGCTATGAATAACAATAATGTTGCAAAGTAACGCCTGTGGGTATGAGTGACTATGATAAATAACCTCGGCCGTATTATAAATTTAGGTACCGAAAAGTTTCTCGTGAGTAATAAGGGCGCACTGTCTACAAGTAGTTGCGCGCGTAATGAGTTCGCGCCCTCCTCTTGTTTATTGTGCGCGGCTGTCGACGAAGAAACAAATTGGTCGGTAAATCTGAATACCTGTAGATTAAAAACCACGTGAAAATCGCTCGCATTTCAGATAGAGTTGTATAAGTAGAAATAAGGTTGTAGCAAAAAAACAATTTCCAAAAAAAACAAAAGCTTATAAGTAACTTTTGATGTACTGATTTGATTTCATTTCATCGCACAAAATCTGCAGCCCAACCTTCAGACTGTTTGAGTTTGTGGATTCTACAGGCCAAATTCTATACGAAAATGTTTTTTTCCCGACAACGATCTTCCTGATGGTGGAGTCAAATCTTCAAACGCGAATTGCGGGTGAAAGCAACGTCGGAAGTGGGTACCGTCAAAGGGAAGGTGATAGCCCCAGACAACGATCTTCCTGAAGGTGGAGTCAGTATAGGAGCCTCTTGAGTTAAGTAGGTATTGCTGTATGATAACGAGCATTGTCTTGCTAGAAAAGTTGAATTCCAAGCTCATGAAAGAACTTAAGGAATTCCTCCTTTGCGTAGATTTCTTCCAATGTCTTTCTCATTGAACTTTTTCTTCTTTTTTATTTAATTTCCTATAATTATTTCTTTCCTATTATTTTCCCAAATCTCACCTCTAAATTCTAATCGACGTTCTCCCTTATTTCCTCGTTCAGCTCTAAACTTAAATACCATTTTCCTTAAATGACTTTGGTCTGCCTCGTGTGGTTTACTTCTTTGACACTTCCCTATTCCTGGACACTTACCCACCATACAACAATATAATTGCTTATATGTAACCGGATTTATTGTTTTAGCAGTACTGGCCACGTTGCGTGAACAAATAACCATTGCATCCATCCAAAAACGACTACACTACTTCAACCTGCTGCTAAAACCAAATGTTCTTTGAATTGACACATTATGAGAAATATGGAAAAGGTAAGAGAAATTAACATCTAATTATATTGTCTGTTTTCTAAGTGGACCGAATTTCAGCCAAAGCCTCCGTATCATCCAACCCGCTAATACAAAGAAATATTCATGCGTGGTCCTGATGTCAACCAGGGACCTTAAGTACCACAGTCGATCCTCCACTGAAATGAACCAAGGGGCGAGCACCACCCACCATAATATAGTATTCGGCATTATGGATAAACAGAAATTTTCTGGTGAGTTGTCATAAATTCGTTTTGCGTACCAATACCAAATGGAATTCATAACTTATGGCCGAAATTTTACGAGAAAAGTATATCAAGTGTCAAGCATCAAGAGAGAGAAGTTTATAAGAGATTTTAAGAGAAATTCAAAAAAGTGATTCAAAAAATTTAGGAATGATTCAAAAAACTGATTCAAAAAGTTAGGAGTGATTCAAAAAAGTTTTTTGAATTCTAAAAAGATGTCAAAAGGAATGTTTAAAAAAAAACAAAGAAATTTTAAACTTTTTTATTCTATTTTTCAATAGATACATTATCCAGCTACCGGCAAAGTGCAGTCAAGGCAGTACAATATTATTCTAGAGATGAACAAAGGAAATAAGTTTCATTTTTTGTATTACAAAGATCTTCTTGTAGCAGTGATAACTTAAAAAATAAATAACTTAATACGTATATTTTGTTCTCAATTTTAAACCTATGCATGCACAAATGGAAATTGAAGTTACTAGTGAAACACCATAGTCATTTACTTTGATTGACTACTAGTAGCTACCTTAGAGTAAATCTGGATGACGGATGGACCGGAATGATGATGATGACAGCGCCGAATTCGAAGTGGTGATGGTGAATAGTAGGTACTCATCCCTACAACAATAAGATTATCTAGTAAACGTGTAGACAGGATTTCTTTGTCCTACCTAAGAATGTTGGTCTCTGTTGACAACTGCAGAGGTGATTAGTTCCTTCAGTCTTCGCATCGGAAAAGTGTCGTCGTTTCAGATAGCTAGCGATGGAGATAGGTACTGCTTGAGACCGCCTAAAAAGTGAAGATGAATTAGAAAAGATCTTTTGATGGGTAAGTACCTATGTATCCCAAAAGAGCTGAGATATTAATGAAATAAATCGAGCAAATCAGTTGAATTTGGCCTGTAGAATCCATAATTTCAAACAGTTCTAAGATTGGGCTACTAGTTCAAAAGTTACAGCCCTTTGAATTTTCTTTCGAAATTGGTTTCTAGTCTATAACTTTTGATTGAGAAGTCTGATCGAAAAAGTACGAATTGTTTTGGATTCTACGCACCAAAATTAATAAGAAAAAGTGTTTTCCCGAGAAATTTTGGTGCAGTCGATTTTTGGTAAAAAAGGAAGGTTATACACTGCCTTTTTTTGAGCCCCGAAAAAAAATTTGTCTCAGATCGACCCGGAAAAAAAATTTTCTTATAGAATGTGGCCTGTAGAATCCATAATTTCAAACAGTTCCAAGATTGGGCTACTAGTTCAAAAGTTACAGCCCTTTGAATTTTCTTTCGAAATGGTTTCTAGTCTATAACTTTTGATTGAGAAGTCTGATCGAAAAAGTACGAATTGTTTTGGATTCTACGCACCAAAATTAATAAGAAAAAGTGTTTTCCCCGAGAAATTTTGGTGCAGTCGATTTTTGGTAAAAAAGGAAGGTTATACACTGCCTTTTTTTGAGCCCCGAAGAAAAAATTGTCTCAGATCGACCCGGAAAAAAAATTTTCTTATAGAATGTGGCCTGTAGAATCCATAATTTCAAACAGTTCCAAGATTGGGCTACTAGTTCAAAAGTTACAGCCCTTTGAATTTTCTTTCGAAATTGGTTTCTAGTCTATAACTTTTGATTGAGAAGTCTGATCGAAAAAGTACGAATTGTTTTGGATTCTACGCACCAAAATTAATAAGAAAAAGTGTTTTCCCGAGAAATTTTGGTGCAGTCGATTTTTGGTAAAAAAGGAAGGTTATACACTGCCTTTTTTTGAGCCCCGAAAAAAAAATTGTCTCAGATCGACCCGGAAAAAAATTTTCTCATAGAATGTGGCCTGTAGAATCCATAATTTCAAACAGTTCCAAGATTGGGCTACTAGTTCAAAAGTTACAGCCCTTTGAATTTTCTTTCGAAATTGGTTTCTAGTCTATAACTTTTGATTGAGAAGTCTGATCGAAAAAGTACGAATTGTTTTGGATTCTACGCACCAAAATTAATAAGAAAAAGTGTTTTCCCGAGAAATTTTGGTGCAGTCGATTTTTGGTAAAAAAGGAAGGTTATACACTGCCGGGAGAGAAGTTCGTCTTTCATGGCGAGCGGACGTGTTTTGAGCGAGCTCCGGCCTTTTTTAGTGGTTTTTTGTGTTTGTATAGGTTTAAAAATGTATGTCGGTAGCGTACAAAATTTGCAATTGTTTAGTGCTTGTTTCATCGAAATCGGTCCAGTGGTTGAGATTTTACGAATTTTTACAGTTTTAAGTTTAATTTCAAGATTCATAACGCGCGAGACTAATTAAATCGTGAGAAGACAGGGCAGGAACCTCCAATCAACAGGACAAAAAAGAGCGTAAAGCTAAGATAAGTGCTTACTTGCTTACTTACTCACTTACTTACTTAGAATTAAGGCTAAATTTAATTTAAAAGTGAACAAATGGGAAAAGATAGAATAGAGAGGCGCAAGTCACTGGGAGCTACATTGAATATACCTACTTCGAATCGGGGTGGAACAAATTGACCCTTGGGAAAGGAAATATAAACTTGTCAACCGGAGACATATAAAGAAACTAAGCCATAAATTACAATATTTAAGCTCTCAAATTTCGGTCTAATAGGCATGATTGACAAAAAAAGGAAACCTTTCTTACCAAATTACAGCGGCTTTTTTTTCCTGTTTTTTTGCGCTTTTTACTTTCGTTAGTACCTTTAGTTTAGAGTCTCCCAGACACAATAGAATATACGGGGCGGTCAAAGATAGACTGAAGGGGCACGTCTCGGTGACTTAACAATTAACTTAACTAAATTATCTCTCCTAGGTATCTCTTTTAGCGATCAATAAACAGCACCCACCACCCAAACCAGGATTAAGACCTTAAAGACAAGTACTCGTAACAGCGATCAAATAGAAGTACGATCAAAAGAATACATCCTAGAATGCATCAGTATAAATAAGGATGGGGACTGCCTGTTTGGAGCGATTGCGCACCAACTGAGGCGACTGCCAGTGACATCAGAGCCTCACAGGAAATTAACCAAATGATTAAAAAAGAAATCAACGCATACATCAGTGAAAACCTGGAAGATTTTTACCCACAATTGATAGGAGACGTAGACGGATACGTGGAGGGAAGAAGGAGAGAACCAGCAGGGTTGCGGAAATCGTAATCAAGAAGCACCGATGCATTGAGGTGGAGAAATTTGAAGGAAAAGCAAGAGTATATCCATGGCCCAAATCAAGATGAAAATAAGAAGACTAACAATCATAGGATGCCACATCCCCTCGGACAAAAGAGGGCAGGCGGAACTCAGAAATCGAAGTGAAACAACAACAAAAAGTGCGAAAAGAACCGAGGTATCATACTAGGCGACTTCAATGCACAACTAGGCAGACTGGACGGAAGTGAATAGGAGGAAGGGAACGGCAGCGACCTTTACGAACATGGTACACCTACATGGACTGAGGGTAGAAAACATATTCGGCAAGTCCAAAATGGTAACATGTAATCAAAGGAAATAAGCGTCACGAACACAGCAGACATATGGGCAAAAACAGTAGGATCGGACCACAAAATGGTAAAGGGGAAAGTAAAGAGGGGGGAGGGGAAGAAGAGAACAGG